AGCTGTTAAAGACAACTTACACATATTTCAGAATAAGTGGTCGAATTTACCCCGCGTCCTTAAAATCAGTAGGTAATTTCGACCAAAATCATATGGACGTTTCTTGTACATTTTGAGAGAAATCCAAGATAAATTTGTAAAATTCTGCAACTTAAAGATATTCCAAGAAAAAATAAAACAATTTTTTTAATTTAATTCGTGCTGTAGACTGTTGAACAAGGTCAAACTTAAAAAGAGGTTGTACGAGTTGTCTCTCTTGCATTTCCTTGATCAAATCAAGCGCACTGAAGATGGGGACTTCGAACGTCAAACTGGAGACATGAATAATAGTAAAAATATTATTTATATCTCTGATCAAGCTATATTTCCGATGAATAATTATACTAGGAAACACAATTTGAGGAATAGTTTTCTATAATTTCGAATAAATTAAACTTGTCTCAACACTTCCGTAGATCTTTGTGTGGTGTTGTGTTCCTGTGGTCGAAATTAAACGGTGGTCGAAATTACCCTGACTTACCCTAGCATAAATTTATACAGACATGTTTAAAATGGTTAGGGTAAGTCAGGGTAATTTCGACCACCGTTTAATTTCGACCACAGGAACACAACACCACACAAAGATCTACGGAAGTGTTAAGACAAGTTTAATTTATTCGGAATTATAGAAAACTATTCCTCAAATAGTGTTTCCTAGTATAATTATTCATCGCAAATATAGCTTGATCAGCGATATAAATAATATTTTTACTAATTATTTATGTCTCCAGTTTGCCGTTCGAAGTCCCCGTCTTCAGTGCGCTTGATTTGATCAAGGAAATGCAAGAGAGACAACTCGTACAACCTCTTTTTTAGTTTGACCTTGTTTAACAGTCTACAGCACGAATTAAATTAAAATTGTTTTATTTTTTCTTGGAATATCTTTAAGTTGCAGAATTTTACAAATTTATCTTGGATTTCTCTCAAAATGCACAAGAAACGTCCATATGATTTTGGTCGAAATTACCCCTACTGATTTTAAGGACGCGGGGTAAATTCGACCACTTATTCTGAAATATGTGTAAGTTGTCTTAACAGCTGTTTAATGCAATGCAGAGTTAGATCTTCCCCAAAAAAATGATTATAATGTATATTTACAATATTAACTACATATGACCTTTTATATTTAAAAAAAATATGTCAGATTAATTAACATATGCATGCCTAGCTATATGTATTGTCCGGGCCGTTTACGAGGGTGCATCGCTGATCATGCTGATCGACGTGCGAGAGAACACGGAGTCGGCACTGGCTTTGAAATAACACATGGCGAAAGCAATCCATAAGATTCCAAACCCGTCAAATTAACAAAAGAGAGGATGCAGGCAATATTGAATATAAGTAAAAAAAAAAAAAAAAAAAAAAAAAATCAGGTTTTTGTATCTTTTTTTTATTATTACGAATGTGTTTGACGGACAAGACTGAGGCTATCGAAAACCAACGAACCAGTCGTATTAAGATCGTATCACACAATCCAGGACAAAAAACCAAATAGTACCCAAAATATCAGAACAACACACCAAAAGAGTCGCAACAATCTTGAAACACAAAAAAAACCCACTATGATGTTACACGAAATAAATGATTTGAGTTTGTTTTTTTTTTTTTGTTTTGTTTTGTTTTTGTTTTTGTTTTTTTTTTTTGGGGGGGGGGGGGGGGGTCAGAGGACTTTGCTTCTGTTAATCTTTGTTTAATCATCGTCGGAAACCCAAGGTCGGTCTCGACCGACCGTGGGTTTCCGACGATGTATTTAATTGACTTGATCGAATTTCTCAGGATATATCTCTTTTAAGAATTAAAAAAAAACACGTAAAATACGTAAAACAACGCATACCAAATGAATGTGTATATGGTAAAAATTAGTGAAGAAAAATATACGCAATTCTCATGCTATGCTCAAACCTTATGCATATATATATACAATTTGAATGATTCTGTTGTGAAAAGACGATATTAAATAAAATCCCTTTTGGGTTGAACAATTTAAAAATCATAACAAAGAAATTATTTGTGGAATCTGAGAAAATTTTATCTATTTGCATAACTTTATAACACAATTTTAAAATATAGAGTTAGCGAATTAAAAGCAGAACATTTAGAATAAAGAATAAGAATTAAGATGTCTATAAGACAGCATTGAAAAGCTTAAGTAACCCAACCCAATTCTTTACTGTATGGATACTACTACACTGTAAAAAATGTGCTTAGGAAATAAACACTTCTATTACGTGTTTAGATCTAAACGTGTTTGATATTGTGTTTAACAACAAAACACTTATGTCTAAATGTATTTAAAATCTATACGCGTTTAGATATTGAACATGTTTTTTGTTTTAAATTCGGTCAAGTGCAGAGTTATCTTCCCGGAAATGATACATATTTGAACGTTAATAAGCGCGGTTGTCGAAACAAAGAAAATCACAACAAAACGTTAAACGATGTTTTCAAGAAAGCTGATGAGAACTTGAGTGCCAACCACCGCAGAAATAGTGAAAAACATGTGAAAGGCTCATTGTTATTGCTGTAGGGTATGTATACTTTTGTTTTTATATTAAATAAACATGATGAGCAAAGTAAATAACATTGCACTTTATACCAAGGATGTTTTTCGGTGTTATGTCATGTATTCATTAATGAGAATAAATATTGAATCTATTGTTGCAATAATATTTATTTAAACATTTTTATTATATGCTTAGTAATTAATGTAAAACTTCAGCATGTACAGTGAGGAGCACATATACTTTTACTTAAATGCAACGTACGTCTTTTCTTACAGGTTAACTTAATTGGATAGCCGAGAGAAAGAACAAAATTCATTTCTGATAATGGATGTGAGTTATACTGCCGTAGAAAATACCTCCAAGATTATCCAGATACTCTGCTGCTTTGTTTACATCACGACGAATTTGAAATAGTGATCCGTATTGCATCACACTGCAAGAAGCACACCATAGCTGGAGTCTTTTACATGTCTTTTACATGTATATTTACTTTGTATTGTGCTACTGGTACAAAATTCAGACAATTCAACAACTTGGATGTTACTAACTCTTTAGATGCCAGTTAGTTTTATATGTCAAAACTTCTAAAAGACTTTGTAATAAACAATGGAAACCATTCACAAGTAAAAGGAATTCCACCAAACAATGATTCCGTGACTGCGTGAGAACACTTTACTGTGTGTTAGGCCTTTTCTTTCATTTTAATATGATGTTTAGAAGTAAATAAAACTTAAAACGGACACACCTGTTATATGTTTGGTTTTCTTGCAGATCCTTGTTTAAAACATTGATATGTTTAGCTTCTAAACGCGAATCTAAGTGTTTAGAATTGTGTTTAACCTCTAAACATGTATGTATTTAGGTTTAAAACACTTTCCATTACGCGTATTGAAATTCAACATGTTTAAAATTTAAACGCATTAAAAAAAGTGTGACAAGAATGTGCTTAGAAATGTGTCTATCATCTAAACACATTTTTTACAGTGTACTTATCCATTTTAATCTTTTTATTGAGAGAGATAGATACACGTATTTTCTGAATAAGACAACAGTTTCTCGGACCATAAATTTTAAATAAAATGTGACAGGTAAAGTTTACATGCATTGCAAGAGTTATCTTTCTTTTTAATGTTTGTTGTGGTCGAAATTACCCCGAGGCCGGTCGAAATTAACCCATGCAACATGCTTGCTTATTTCTAAATCAATTCATTATTTTTTATGCATTTTTTAACTCCTAAAGCAAAAAATATGAAGAAAAAATCATTCTCAATTACTTTGAATCATTTTTAAACTAGTACATGTGAAAACAGTCGTGTTTTGTGGATTGAAAGCCACAAATCAGCAAAAGTGGTCGAAATTACCCCAGTCTACCCTATAAGGTATGTGTAACTTGTAAGTACCCGTGTACCCGGTAATGTTTGTGGCTAGTGGTTAGCAAAAATCACAGGCCTATGATTGCTTTTATCCGACTGACAAATGGGGTTACAACAAAATACTTTATTAAACTCCAAGTTTGTCAGCAAGATTAAAGCGAATCAAAGATCTGTGACAAAGATGTGATGCATTTTACACACATCATAAAACAAGACTTTCATTAACACATTTTGTGTCACTGGAAAAGAAATGACTCATAATAGAAAATCAGTTTACCTCGATATTTATGGCACTAATGTATGGTTTCAGCTACCAGACTGGTTTCATATGGCCCAGATGTGGATGAGGAGGAAGGAGATAGTGATGAGGACTCGACCCCAGAGGAGGAGGGGGAGGAGGAGGACACAGTAGGATCGGAGGCCATTATCGTTGATGTAGATAGATTTATACCTTTAGTTATACATGTATATTTAATTCATTTGCTTTAAGTGACTTAGACTTTTAAAATTTTTTGTTGAGAATTATACACCATTCATTTTATGAGTTCTTCATATTTTGAAACTCCTAACTTTTTTGTTTGAATAAATAAATACTCAAGCTTAAACATGCTAAATGGATACACTCAAAAAGTTTTCGAAGGAATTTGTGGCTAAATTTTTTTTTAAAGAAAATCATGAATTTAAGACATATTTCAAAAAGTTTTAGCACAACACAAGTATATATTTTACTCTAAAGGTTTTGCTTTGCAGAATGACATTAAACCAGAAGAGCCTCTGGACGCTGATCAAGCCTGTAAGTATTACTGTCAGGGGATCTGAACGTCACCCCTATCTATTGTATTTATAAATCATTTATCTATGAAATGAAATTGATAGAAACAAATATTTGATTATTTTGTCAAGTTAAATTTGGCTTAACAGTAAAAACAACATTCTGAAGTTGCTTTTGAGCACATAAATTGTAATTATTGAAGTCATACCTGATAGTATTGGTAGTAGTTCTTGTGCATTTTTTTTTAATTAATTTTACTTCAGAATGGGGTTATCTTTCTTTTCTTGTTTAGTCTTTCTTTGTGTTTTCATTCTAGCATCCCTATCTCGCAGTGTACAAAACAAAACAGCAGATGAAATAGAACTTCCCGCAGAACCCCCAGGAAAGTGCTCCAAAGCTCTCCAGGTTCTGGTCATATTTCATATTTACTGTTGTTGGTTATTAATTCAAATATTTTATAGAAAATTAAGGAGTTTTACTGAATTACCTGTAAAAATTATATTCAAAATTGTACATACATGTACATCGGATATAAGAATAGTTATTTTTTTCTCTTTATCTATGCATGTGCAATATGTTTTAACAAACTAAGATAGAATTCTTAAGTGTAGGATTGGAATTTGATTTTATTTCTTGTGGTTTAGTTAATATGCTGTTGATCAATTACATACAAATTGTATAAATTACTTCAATAACACTGATTTCGTTTCTTGATTTTCCAGGATAAAATTTCCAAATTGTACGACAAAATGCAAAATCAGGGATTAAATTTGAATTACATGAACAATAACATAAAGCAAAGGAAAAACTACCGCAATCCCAGGTATTTTTATTGTCATTATTGTCAACCTGAGGTATTTCTTCTCTCTGATTATCATCATTTAACATTGTCATGGTTCACCCAATCATATTCTATCAGTGAAGTAAGGTATGATCTGTTAATTTATGATTGAAGCAGCATTCACAATATCCCTTTACATATGTACATTTGTACTACATTCACTGTGATTTAATTTGTACATTGTGACTTAGAGTGTATACTATATGTTGTGTATAGTGACTTAGAGTGTATACTATATGTTGTGTATAGTGACTTAGAGTGTATACTATATGTTGTGTATAGTGACTTACAGTGTATACTATATGTTGTGTATAGTGACTTAGAGTGTATACTATATGTTGTGTATAGTGACTTAGAGTGTATACTGTATGTTGTGTATAGTGACTTAGAGTGTATACTGTATGTTGTGTATAGTGACTTAGAGTGTATACTATATGTTGTGTATAGTGACTTAGAGTGTATACTATATGTTGTGTATAGTGACTTAGAGTGTATACTATATGTTGCTTATGTTTCCATTCCTGTTCATGTTTATTGTATTGATACAAAATTTATTTTGCTTTTATTTGCAGTATTTATGAGAAATTAATAGAATTCTGTGCTATAGATGAGAAGGGAACTAACTATCCCCCTGTAAGTATAGTTCTCTCAATATTCTCTAGATCTTTTCACTTTCACCTGTTACATTCTATGTAAAAATATTTTGAAATTTAAAGCTCTTGTTTACATTGTGAAATCTGGTACTATAAAACTTTAAATGTGTATGGTTGTCACAAATACTATACACCCTAAACCTCTATTTATTTTATGTCTCTGCTTTATTTATAGGAAATATTTGATCCTCATCAGTGGGGAAAAGAATCTTTTTATGATGCTCTGGGTAAGTTTTATCTTCATCACTTGGAGGGGGGGGGGGGTCTTTTTATGATGCTCTGGGTAAGTTTTATCATCATCACTAAGAGGGGGGGGGGGTCTTTTTATGATGCTCTGGGTAAGTTTTCATTTTATTTATGGTTCATCCTCTAAAAAATGTAAATGTGAACATCTCTGCTGTTTTAAATTATCAAAATTCCTCAGATGAATGTATACACCATTTCTGTCTGTGGAGTGGGGGCATTTTTGCAGGGTTCGAAATTAGCTCATGTCCATAAGTCCGAGACTAGTAAAAATTGTGTCGGACTAGTCAAGTTCATGTAGCACTAGTCCGTACGGACTAGTGACAAATCCGACTATAAATTTAATCTTAGTATTTTTTCCTCAATGCTTTCTTTCAAATGAATGCCTGTTTAAGCAAAAGTGTCAACAGTTTTATCATTAAAACGATGTAAACAATAACAAGCTTTAGAGAGCTGAAGTTGCTAGCATTACCAGGGACGATTTTGCCAAAAAATTAAAACGACAGATTTTCACGAGAAGGTGGCCGTCAGAAAGAGGTTAATTGCCATGCATTATTATTGACATTCACAAAATCGTTCTAAATTATTTAAATAGTATATGTGTTGAAAACTTCCTATGTTTTAAAGCTGTTTTTACAGCCTGCAAGTTCCCAAAATTGTAACATATACATATATGTATATAATGATACATCGTATCCTCAAGCAATAAAAAGTTATAATCAAGTTATTGTTGCAACACATCGGGTAAATGATCACAGATGATTTGTAAGGATACAAATACGATAAGCATTATTAAAAAATTCTTTAATCACACACAGATCACAGTTATCAAGGTAATATTACGGACATAATTAGGTCAGGGGTAAGACTAATACCAGCAATGCCCCAAAAATGTCAACCAACTTTTTCTCCATTTTTTTTCTCACTCAGTGATACCATCAATTCATAAAAATATTTATTCATTGTTTTAATTGTTTATTGACACTTTTTGATACTCCGTTCATTGACATTTCTGGGGAATTTTTTTTTAAGTATATCACTACATGTACTAAGTTTAAGTATTTTTTTTCTACTGATGTAATCAAAAAAATATTTATATGTTTGATACCTTGCAATTTTTTTTTTCTGTAGCAACAGATGAATCAGAATTTAATTTTGTATTCAAAAATAATAATTTTATCTCATAAAGGTAGATGGGGGGGGGGGGGATTTAAAGTTACAAAGAAGGTTTATCACGGGTATGTTATCATTATCGTAAGACAAAAGGTGGACTAGTCAAATGTTTTACGGATTAGTGAAAACTGGAAGTCACTAGTCCGTACGGACTAGTGCTTACAAAAGTTAATTTCGAACCCTGATTTTGAGATGCTTGCATAATGTTTTAGGGTGCAACATTAAAAATAACATTATGTGAGGAATTATATTTATTATATTTGATAGAAATATGCTTCTTTTATAGCTAGTAAATACAGAGAACCACTGCACTTCCTTGTAAACCTCCATGTTTAAAGTATGCCTTTTGCTTGGAGTGTGAATTAACAGCAACATAATTTGACAGAATAAAACATTTGACTTTGTTTATTTACAGACAAAGCACAGAAAACAGAGATGGAGAAAAGAGAAAAAGAGAGAAAAGACAGAACGAAGGTAAACAATCTTCAAAAACATTCTCACATTTTCACAGCCTATTTCAGACTTTTTAAATGAATATTGCAAGTTACAGATAGAATAAAAAAAAAAAACAAAGAAGATAAATATGAATATTTGCTTCAAAGCTGTCTTCAGGGTTAATGTCACCATTTTACCACTGTGTCATTCTTTTGGATTTTAGATAGAGTTTGTAACAGGGACAAAAAAATCAAGTTCCGATGGAGGACCAGGTAATATTGACAATTCAAACTGATATTTACTCTAACAGAATTTGATTATTATAACCCTGAAGTGTAGAAAGAGTTCTTTTGACAATCATTGATGAAAGCTGTGCACATTGGAGTACCCGGGGAACCCTTGGGCAGAGATCAACATTTAACAACACACTCTGCACATCTAAATGTTATGGTCATTCAAAACACAGAGGGGAATTTGTTTTGCTGCCACTAAAAATGTAGGCTAATCAATGACAAGCTTGTAGTTTAAACCACTTTCTTATGGAATATGAGGTTAAAATTCAAATTTCCCAGGTTTTACTGACTTACATGTATAGCTAACCATATGCAAAGAGAAAATTTGACCGAGTTTCAAAGTTTGACAGTCAAACTGACAAATGAAAATAACAATTCTTTTTCATCAATGTACATTTATATTTTTTAAGATGCAAAAAATGCAAAATATATACCCAAAGAAACACAAAGGCCAAACAAAAAAATATGTGTGGTTCTGGTTACACTTCCAAAAAAATTAGGGTAGGTAGGTAGGGATTTTTTTTTTTTTTTTTTTTTTTTTTAACAAAATGATTTTCTTAATTTTTTGTAAATAATACCTATCACTGCTTTGCAAATGGCATTTAGATGTGGTGTGATAATATACTAGTCAATATTGGTAGGGGACTCCTACATGCTAGCTTGCTTTGGATTTAACACTATTAAACACTTGCACTATGTTTTGCAAGGAGGCCGTCATTGCTGAAACTAAAACTTAAACTGGAGCCATTGATGGAAATCGGGGGAAATTCCGGGAAAAATATGAAAATTGCCAAAAAAAAGTTTAGGGTCGGGGGTATAAAATAGGGAAGGTCGGGTAACCGGAACCACACATATTTTTTTATTTGGCCTAATCAATATGTGACACACTTCAGATCTTACTTCAGAGGAACAAAAAGAGGATATAGTTGAATTTAAGTGTTTACCTTTAGTTAACTGTGTACTTTTTATTTCAGATGAAAAGAAGAGAAAAAGTAAGTGGGACTCTCTACCACAGGTAACAGGAACTAGGCCGGGGGTCGTAAACCCCCAAGTGGTAGTCTCTTCCCTCACAATAACAGCGACCGGCACCAAGACAACAGTCATTCCTGCCGTGGGCAATATCACAAAGAAAACAAAGTCCTGATACGTCTTTATTCCAAGAGCTGAATTGTTGAGTCAAGGAAAACATTAAAAATAAAACACAGTGAATAAATGAGTGTCATCAGCAGTGAGCTGCAGGGTGAAGAATATGACCAGTTTTGATACTTTAGATTTATTTTTGTTTCGTTTCGGAAATCTGAAGTTAACAGAACATTTCATTTCTAATTCTGGACTGTCAGGATGGTGAAACTGTGTAAAATAATTGTGGTCATTCATGCAACTTTAATTATCAACATGATTTCATATTAAAATTTCATCACGTCACTGTCTGAATTTGATTGCTGGACATCTGGTAGTAACTGAAAAAAGTGCCGACATTGAAAATGAAGTGAATTATCACGTAAATTATATCATATCACTCAAACTTCTTGATTCCACTCAAGTATTGGTCTTTATCAGTGAATCCTTCTCATGTGGAATATGGAATAAAATTTATATTATTGCTGCATTTTTGTTTTCATTTTCATCTACTTGTATATCATATTATTGAAATACATGTACATACAAACTCTGATACTCATATAAACTTAAACACAGTGTTTCTCAATGCATTTACATGTAGGTAGAAAGTTGATTTCATCTAGCAAGAGGTTGTCCTGTTGAAAAAAGTGTATATTTATTGCGCACAAAAAGTGTGCACGTTTCAAGATCAAAATATTTTCTTAATTTTTTTTTTTGTAATTTGTATTTTTGTTTCCCTCTTAAAGCAAGTACCTTAATGGATCTTAAATAGACTTGCGTAGAACCATGCCGACATATGCATCTTTGAGGAAGATTTTGATAACTGAGCTAGATTGTACCTAAAGAAAGAACTCTAGGCCCCAAGTAGTGATCTATATTGTACACATATCTTACATTTTTAAGTCGACATAATATATATATATATATATATATATATATATATATATATATATATATATATATATATATATATATATATATATATATGTTGACGAATGTTGCAATGACATAATGGACATGCAGATAGCGGGATAGCAATGACACAAAGACACGATGATATCGCTCCATCATCATCACAACACTTGGCAATGATTTTGAAAGGGGGGGGGGGGCAGTAAAAATTTACTGCTTACTTCAAAAATCTTTTCCAATGAAATATGGAGATAACGAAAAGTATTCAAGCTCAAAGTCCATTTAAACAATATAGATCGGGAGCAGAGTAAACACGGATCTCCAAAAACATCAGAGGTGGGATCAGGTGCCATGGAGGAGTGAGCATCCCCTGTCGACCGTTCACACCCGCCATGTAATTTAGTGTGTAAATAATGGCCTAACAATTAGTATGAAAAACGTCAGTCAGCATTTGACTTAATGATAGGTTGTATTTGCTGACAACATCATTGTTTCAACCATAAAAATTGTAAAAGGGAATTGTCCAAATTTTTTTTGGGGGGGGGGGGGTCCAACTTTTTCGCTGGAAAAAATTATTCATTACCCTTGACAATTTGACCATGCAGCTAAAAATTAAAAAAAAAACAGTAAAAAAGATTATGTTCGTAAAAAATATGGGGGGTTGGGGGGCTTAATTTTACAGAATGAAGAGAAATTCAGCTAAGTACGTGTAGTTTGATATATACATAAATCGGAATCAGACAGGCCCGTAGAACGCAGGGGGGGGGGGGGGGCACTTTTTCTGAGTATAGTTTAGATAGTTTTCAGTAGGCCCAAATTATCAAGAGTTATTTCCCTTTGGCCGCCATATTGGAGGTCAACATGCTCATATTCCTTCATTATTCAACCCACTTTAACTTTATATACTGGCCATTGTGGGGTAGGCAGCATTGTTTTTCTAAAAAAATATACATTTGGTAAAGCCTCCTTTTTTTCATAATTTTTATTCCATAAAGATTTTCCTCCAAATATTTCTGCTACACCCTCTTAAAGTTGGTAAGACAAAGAGGAAAAATTACCAGGTTGACCACCAAAATGGCGGCCAAGGGAAATAACTCGAAGAGAAAATATGTCATATGAAAACTATCTATTTTGCTATTAAAGTAGATTTTCCATTACAGTGTATATGCTGGTTGCCTCCCCTCCTCCCCCCCCCCCCCAACACACACACTTTTTATTACAGTTAGGTCGAGGAATGGCATTTTTTTTTCTTTTTTTACTTTTCATTTGGGGGGGGGGGGAAGTTGGCCTCCCCACTTTGAAACCGTTGCTACGGGCCTGTCAGAGTTGCAAGTGCTTTCTTTCCCATCATTGACTGGAACAGGTTTTCAGATATGATGATATCGGTAGCATTTATGTAAATAAACAAGATAATGATTTTTTTCTCAATTTTTCGCTTTAATTGTTTATATATATATATATATATATATATATATATATATATATATATATATATATATATATATATATATATATATATATATATATATATATGTATATAGAGTATCAAAACAAAGATGATCTCTGTAAAAATAAAGGTCACTGGCATTCTTTGCATGTGAAAATTTAAACGCAAATAATAAATACACACTTTTATTTATTGTCTTCTTTTCCAGGCCTCCCAGACTTGTGGGTAATTGTAGATGATCTCGTGTGTCCGCGCCAAAAGTTGGCGCAATCCGCAATAACGACAAAGAAAATTTTCTACGTTAGGAGCAAAAAAATGTGGCTGAAATTGTATGAAGTCAAAATTTTCTATTAGATTTGTGGAGATTAATGTCTCTAAAACATCAAATTCACAGCCTTCACAGTTAATAGTCAGAAGGTCTATTCTATGACATCCCACTCCTAGTTGAATGAAAAAATCCAAGACACCCACTAACCAAACCTTTTCAGTCGTTTTAGCCCCTTCTGGTGAGACTGTTTTCTTGGACATATGCGTCGCATCTCCGACTAATCCAACGTCCAGTTCCTTGTGACTTCTTGAGAGACCGAAGTTATAACTTTTTATGCTTGTGTTGAAGTTATAAGTTTTAATATTCTTGTTAAGTGTGTTGTAGAAACTAGGAACCGGTTCTATAACAACATAGTGCTTTGCACCAGTTACGGGAATAAGTTTTCTAAGAAGTTGACCTGTGTAACCTCCGATTTCAATGATGACAGTATCTGGTTTTCCTTGCAAGAAAGAGAAAAACAAAGACGTGATATTGTGATCCATACGTCGGATATAAAATTCACGAACATTTTCTGGAATTGCGTTACTCTCGACACAGTAATGAAACGAAGGTATCTCGAAGTTAGAAAAGTCTTTCACACGTTTCCGTTTTATTCTATTTATGCATTTATTACTTTTCGTTGAGGGCAGAACAGGTGTGACTTGTGGTAAATCAGGTGCCCTTATTGGTGATGTCTGCTCACTTTTAAAGAGACTTTCGGGTAAGTCACAATTCGTCACTTGTATTGCTGACACGATAAATAAGTCCTTCAAATCCACGGATTTCTCTTTCATCAGGTTCCTGAAACTGTATATTATGATGCCGATGACCATGAAGGCTGCGAATGTTTTCCAAAATGTCAACCGTTTCTGGGACATATTCTGAAAGATAACTAAGCATGATTAATATTATTTTACGACGGTGATATTGCACAAGTCCGTTATGTATTACTGAATATTTTTAAAATTAATATTAAATTATCGTTGCTTAGTTCTTTCTAGCTACGACTAAATATGTATCATTAATTAATTTGAAGAAAATTCCAATGCTGGTTTGGCACAAAAGTTAAAAATCTAAGTATCATAAAAAGCTATTACAAATTAAAAGCATTTTGTAATAAAAATTATTTGTAAGGAAATATTTACCAGAGGAATGATGAAAAAAATAATTGAAATCAAAATGTTGAAATTATCGTCAGAATTTCCACTAATATAAGGTCATTAATAGCCTCTGACTTCAATCATTATAAATACAACAGACAATTGTCCACCAGAAATATTGGGCAAAAGTGAGGTTATTTAGATTTATAAAACTTGAATAGTTTTACTGCTGACTAAATGGCATATTAATTGATTAATTACGCGTGTGTCTAGATGTGCTCTCCATTTGAAAAGACAAAGACATATAACGCTAGTTAGAAAGAATATTGAATAATTATTTCAATCAAGTCGGCACGTGAAATTCATTATTTATTTTTTTTTTTTTTAATTCATAGATTTTATTTGTGCTTTCACATACACAGACTGTACAGTATATTAATTAACATTCAATACATACTTTCATTTCTACTTCCTAATAATTCATGTTACATATTTTCTTTATAGTAAATGTATATGTTGCATTACTAAGTCATACTGAAATTATATATGACATGATGTTGTACATTTAAATGAATCTTCAATGTGAACAAGTGAAGGCTTTATATGCAGAAATAAAATTTAAAAAACGGAGAAAAGGTGGTGAAAAGAGGGTAAGTACAAATAAGCTATAAAACATTTATAATGACTTTCACCTTTCAAATAGTTTAAAGAACAGAGAAAAGACGTGAACATATTTTGATTGAAAATGATCTTAATTAATCGAAACTAATTAAGTATCGATCAAACACCAAAACCGTTCCATTTTTTTTTATATGACAGTAATTCTTTTTTAGTTAAAAGATAAAAGACATTTTACGTCAGGAAAAAAACTAAAACATACAAATACTGCATTTGATACTATTAAGATGTCTCGGTCGGGTTTTAAAGCACTGCATGCAAATTTATGTAAGCATTCAATCATATCATTAATATTTTCGCTGTGTCGATCGGAAGTGATGGTCCTGGGAGATGAAACCCGCTGCTATGAGACACATGCAATATTTTATAAATACTTATGTGATATCTACAGATTTTACTTAGTGTTTAGCGTTATTTTGTACATGTTTTGTCTGATTATTCCATGGTAGATTAATTGAAATACATGCATGCTATCGCCGACTTTTATGTCTTTATTGTAAGTACATTAGTTCCACGGATTAATGTCATTATCTTATGCCTATTAATTATTCATTTCAAGCACCGTGTGTATTTTGAACGTTGATAATTGCATTTGCGCTGTAATCCTGTCTTCGGAGATAAATTTTGAGCACTAGATGAATTGTTAAGAAAGATATTTATCTTAACATAATAAATCTGAGAGTTTTTAATCAGATTTTAATCGTTAGTGTCAGCATATCCTAAATTTTATTTTAAAAATCTTTGATATATATTTATTTTTTATCTTTGCAAGAATTGATTTGTTAAAGAATTTTTTTTTCAAAGACACGAATGGCACACCATCATTCAATTTTCTGTTCGTACCTACTCACTTTAAGCATGGAAAAAAGAAAACTCAGTAAGGCCTTCCTGTGTGGAATTTACATTCAAATTTAACAAAAATTCATCGGCAAACAACATACGGACAACAGACATATAATAAGATTATTCTGAAATATAAGGTATTAAGAAAAGTAAACAAATCTGTTACCGTTTCTCTGGTCTCGTCATTCACACAGACCTCTTTATTCACAAGCGATTGAAACTGGTTTCTGATCTAATAATAGATTTAAATCTTCGATCACCACCCTGATGTATGGAAAACACTAAAGAGAAAAAAACCATACTATCATTCCAGTAACAGGGTGTCAGTTTGCTTGATTGACCTGTAACAGGAAAGGAGAAATGGCTGGACCGGGAATCGAACCCGGGACCCCAGCATCACTAGTCAGGTGCTCTACCAACTGAGCTACCCAGGCCAATAACCACGTTTCAAACCATTACATTCCTCCCTCATTAAATTGTCTTCGCCCTCGAAGACACAGCCCAAGTTCTTATTGCCCGTGGCAGAACTTTCATCTGCAAGTCCAAGGGTGGTCAACGACATCAAGTCTGTAACAGGAAGGGAGAAAATGTATGGCTGGACCGAGAATCGAACCTGGGACCCCTTTATCACTAGTCAGGTGCTCTACCGACTGAGCTTCCCAGGCTTGCATAATTACGAACCAAACCATTACAGACTATAGTAAAATTTCACATATTGATTAACATATTAATCATCGATTGGATGTTTGCAGGCCCGTAGCAACGGTTTCAAAATTGGGGAGTTTCCCTCCAAAATATGACCCCCCCCCCCCAAAAAAAAAAGAAAAACCTAATTCACTGTCCAAATCCTGGAATTTACCAGTGCTCGACCTTACAGCAGCAAAAAAAGGGGGGGGGGGCACCATCTAAACGAAAATTTCAATTTACTATACTCAGAAAAAGGGGGCGGCAGAAACTCTCATTGGTCGAACATGTTGGTAAATAAACCGAATAACTTAAAAATAAACTTAATAAAGATTTCATAAATATTTATTATCGAGATCTAGAATATTTAGACCTGACTAAGTTTCAACAAAAAGGCTTATGTAGCTTAACGACTACACTCTTGTTTCGTATTCACACCTGAATATATTGTCAGAATTATACAGATAAAAGTGTAGGAATTTATGCATGTATGAGGCGTTGTCCACATGTTTACATATGTTTCGGTGTAAAAAAGCATTTTGATTAATTAAATTTCCTTTTTTCCTTAAGTATGTAATTAAATTTTCTCTCATTAACTAAAATAATAACTTTAAATTTGTAAAAGAGGGCTAAATACAAGTGCCTCTACCATGCACTTCTCTCTACTCAGATACGTAGAAGTAACAGATTACATTACTTATTTAACAACTGTAAAATTTACACTTTTTAAAAATTTTCACTTTAATTTGTAAATGTTTTTATCTGTATAATTCACACAATACATTCAGTAGCCATCTCAAAGATCTTTAATTTTGAATTATTACATGCAACAATTGATAGACTTATATTATGAATTTAATTTAAAAAAAAACAAAAATTCAGAAAATTTCCCTGCAATATAAACTACATGTATATAGCTCTCGTTGATTAAAACATTGATATCATTAATACACATTTTTAAAGTTTAAAGTGTGAATTTTACAGATTTAATGAAAATTTTACGATTAATCTATGTTATGAATTTTACAGATTAAAGTGTAAGTTTTACAGACTAAAGTTTAAATTTTACAGATTAAAGTGTGGAAAAATAAAAAAGTGTCAATGTGGCACTAATACGCTCCCATAGCTCATTAGGTGACTGCTATAAATGGAACAAAGAAAAGTAAAAAGTTCATCACTAAAAAAAAATGAGTCAATTAAAAAAGAGTTTACATATTTCCGTAGGTGAAATATCAATTAAAACACATTTGTGATCTTAAAATGCTTTAGAATCCCCTTCTCTCATTAACTGGATAATTATTTGAAAAACACTTTTGTGTTTTCCTCAGACCTTTTAGTTGACATCCATATCAGCTGTTGATCTGTTACTTGAGATCTTTGTTATTAATAAAATATGTTGAATTGAATCAAACAAATTTAATTGTAATATATATACAATGGGATTGGGCACAAGTTCTTAAAACTTATTTCACCCTCTCCCTTCATGAGAAGTCTTTAAAGTTCGTGCTATATGTGTTACACAGTTTTAGATTAACTCAAAACATGAATTTATAATCTGCAAGAAAATTACTAATATACAATTGCAGTACACAAGAATTATAAAGTATCATTTAAGTCTGCCAGAATGATGAATATATGAATGTACAAAAAGATATTCATTTTCAGCAACACTTAGTGAAGTATCCTCCCACAGTAAAGTATGGGTGTCAACAATATGAACCTTATCAAATCTCAAAAACTTACTGAAAAAGAAAACTTCCCTGGCCTTAGTATAATTAGGACAAGAGAAAAAATGATGTGTGTATTCTACTTTTCCATAAGAGCATAATGGACTTGATACATGTATAATGTTACACCTATAGAGGTCAATATTTAATGCACAGTTATGTCGTAGTCTGGTGTGCAGTATATTATTAAGTCTTTTTCCAAAACTGAAATAATGTGGAGATACTGCTATTTTTTGTGTAATCGTTCTTTTAAAAACATAGTGAGCTCGAGTTTCTAGTTTCTAGCGATAGTGAGTTCCATTCATTAACTACGGCGCCGTTGGAGTGTCAGATAAAAAAAATATTTATTTGTTCGGACGAATTAGATATTTGTTCAGACGAATTAGAAATTCGTTCGGACGAATTAGAAATTCGTTCGGACAAATTAGTTATTTGTTCAGACGAAATACATATTTGTTCGGACGAATTAGATATTTGTTCGGACAAATTAGATATTCGTTCGGACAAATTAGAAATTCGTTCGGACAAATTAGAGATTTGTTCGGACAAATTAGATATTCGTTCGGACGAATTAGATATTTGTTCGGACGAATTAGGTATTTGTTCAGAAAAATTAGATATTCGTTCGAACAAATTAGATATTTGTTCGGACAAATTAGAAATTCGTTCGGACAAATTAGAGATTTGTTCGGACAAATTAGATATTCGTTCGGACGAATTAGATATTTGTTCGGACGAATTAGGTATTTGTTCAGAAAAATTAGATATTCGTTCGAACAAATTAGATATTTGTTCGGACGAATTAGAGATTTTTTCGGACAAATTATAGAAATTCGTTCAGACAAATTAGATATTTGTTTGGACAAATAAGATACTTGTTCGGACAAATTAGAAATTTTTCGGATATACACGCCATATGCATCAGGTGCACATTGGGAATGTGGCGGGGATATATCTTGACAATTTGTTTTCATATCGTCTCTTTTCCCTTTCAACTGCTGTGATATCTTTAAAGTTCTAGATGTTATAATCAATGAATTTGAATTAATTGCATGTCCCCTCTTTGATCATTTGCAGTGGATAGTTAATACGTATATTCTCTCCTATAAATATTAAATAAAAAGAAATATTTACAGTCTTTAAAAATAATGATTAGGTGTTATCCTCCTTATTTAAAATGTTTTCATTTGGTTTTATCTTTGCCCTCATTAATGAAGTGGTATTTTCATTGGATTCAGCTCTCTCCCACAACCAATCATTCTTTTCACTTTGAAAAACGAGTTGGGAATGTTCAAGAAACCTTTTGATATGACAAAAATTACGTAAGATATTAAAACTATTGCTTAAGAAATGCAGTTTAACGGGACTTGATCTAGAGGCAATCAGTATAGCCCCTCCCTCTTTCCCGTTTTAAAACAAGTCGGGGACTTACCTGAGTTTTTAGCTTTGCAATAACAAAATATATATAAAATATTTCTAATTAAACAATTTCGAAAATCCGTGTCCCTAATACATGTAATGCAGCAAACTTTTAACCCCCCCCCCGCTCTCTCTCTCTCTTAGCAGTCAAACCATTTATGTAAGTTCTACAACATGAAATAAGTAAATAAATATTCGTTCGGACAAATAAAGTTCTTTGTTCGATCAAAGAATTTATTTGTTCGGACAAATTAGTTATTCGTTCGGACGAATTAATATTTGTTCGAACAAATAACTAATTCGTCCGAACGAATTTCTAATTTGTCCGAACAATTAACTAATTTGTCCGAACGAATATCTGATTTGTCCGATCAAATACCGGTATCTAATTCGTCCGAACAAATAACTAATTTGTCAGAACGAATTTTTAATCCGTCCGAATGAATTTTTAATTCGTCCGAATGAATTTCTAATTCGTCCGAACAAATATCTAATTTGTCCAAACAAAAAATATATATATATATATTTCTTTTTATCTGACCCTCCAGCGGCACCGTAGTAATATTCTTCCCATATAAGTTATGTTTCGTGAAATATAAATTTATATAAATAATCTATATAAAAATGAAAATGACTTCGAGGTAGGCGGCAGAACAGCACTATCGTTCACAGTTCTTCTATATGTTTGTTGTTTTAAAAAGCTGCCTGAGTGACAATGACGTAAAACTTTCTCCAACCCAAGTAGATATATGTACATTAGTGTTTTCTTTTCCAGGCTTCCCAGACAAGAGGAAAGTCGTATACCAACTCATGGGTACGTGCAAGAAGTTGACGCAGACTGCAATAGCGGCAAAGAAAGTTTCCAATGTTGGGAGCAAAATAGTGGGGCTGAAATTGTATAAAATCGAATTTCTCTATAAGATTCGTGGAGATCAATGTCTCTAAAACTTCAAATTCACAGCCTTCACAGTTGATGGTCAGTAGGTCTATTCTATGACACCCCACTCCAAGTTGAATGAAAAAATCCAGAACACCCACTAGTTGAACCTTTTCAGTCGTTTTTAAGTTTGATTTTTTTAACATATGTGTTGCGTCTCCGACTACTCCTACGACCAACTCCTTGTGATTTCTAGAGAGGCCAAAATTATATGTTTTTACACTTGTATTGAAATTTAAAGTCCGAATATTCTTGTTTAGTGTCTTGTAAAAAGTAGGAACAGGTTCTATAACTACATAGTGTTTGGCACCAGTTACAGGAATAAGTTTCCGTAGAGTCTGACCGATGTAACCTCCGATTTCAATTATGATTACCTCAGATTTTCTTTTCAGAAAAGAGAAAAATGAAGATATGATGTTGTAATTACCTGTAATAACAAGTCGTTCGTAGTGAAATTGTCGAACTTTTTCTGGATGGATGTTACTTTTGACACAGAAATGAAAAGATGGTATATTGAAGTATGAAAAGTCTGATGCATGATTCCATTTTACCTTGTCGATGCATTTGTTCCTTTTTGTATTGTTTAAAACAGACACGACTTGTGTTAAATTCGGTTTCCGTATTGTTGACATTTGCTCGTTTCTAAAAAGATTTTCGGGAAGTTTGCATGTAGGAAATTTTACGGCTGTTGGTGTTGTTGCTTCTTTGAAATCGAAGAATTTCTCTTTCATCAGGTTCCTCGTGTTGTATAGTACAAAACAGAATACCATAAATACTGCGACTGCTACTCCTTTGTGTGCCATGTTCTGAAACAAATAGTATTTGTACATTATCAATGATTTGTTATTTTTTCAAGGACAGAGATGTGTATGTTTTATTTATTTATTTAGGATTAAATCCTAAAACAATCATTGCAAATTCTAGAATCAGAAAAAGTTACTAAGTGTTTTAGCTTCGATATGTACTATTTTTATGTTCTATTAATGTTTTATATCAATATACATGCGTGATTTGATAAATATTATAAAAAATACATTAGTTAAAAGAAAAAAAAAACCCTTAAACTTTCTGCATTTCTCTGAAAGATTTCCAACACTGAGTTTCTTTAACAAATATGTACATATGTATTCTACTTTATTACAGTAAACTCTAGTTAACTATAGAAACTATTGAGTTCCTTTGATACTTTGATTCACCATTATGCTTAGAAACTTACTATGAACTTTGATTTACTACGAAATATTACTCAAACATTTTTTTTCTTTTAGAAACTTTACTATGAACTTTGATTTACTACGAAATATTACTCAAACATTTTTTTCTTTTAGAAACTTTACTATGATCTTTGATTTACTACGAAAAATTACTCAAACATTTTTTTCTTTTAGAAACTTTACTATGAACTTTGATTTACTACGAAATATTACTCAAACATTTTTTTTCTTTTAGAAACTTTACTATGAACTTTGATTAACTACGAAATATTACTCAAACATTTTTTTCTTTTAGAAACTTTACTATGAACTTTGATTTACTACGAAATATTACTCAAACATTTTTTTCTTTTAGAAACTTTACTATGAACTTTGATTTACTACGAAATATTACTCAAACATTTTTTTCTTTTAGAAACTTTACTATGAACTTTGATTTACTACGAAATATTACTCAAACATTTTTTTCTTTTAGAAACTTTACTATGAACTTTGATTTACTACGAAATATTACTCAAACATTTTTTTCTTTTAGAAACCTTACTATGAACTTTGATTTACTACGAAATATTACTCAAACATTTTTTTCTTTTAGAAACTTTACTATGAACTTTGATTTACTACGAAAAATTACTCAAACTTTTTTTTCCTTTGTTTTCTTTTTCTTTTTTTTCCCTGAGATTCAGAGCTTTAAATTCATATAACACAAAGTCTTGGAAACGAATGCAAGATGTATTCATTAAATCACAGTTGTACAATATAGATGAACAGTTATGCAAGTTGTCAACACAGCTTCTAAGTGCAAGTCATTAGTACAATTTGCTAGTACAGTTTACTAGTATAGTCTTTTCTGTTGCAGGGGAGACATCAAGTTCTACAGTTCGTATAGTGGTTAGTTTCTTCTCATCTCAGTCTCCTCCGCCAGTCTCAGAATATATATTAATATTTCCAATCCTCAGATCATTCTTTAACAGGGCATTATTATTGGAAAGTTTCTAAATTATTCTATATATTTATGAAATTGCCTACTTCAATTTACTTTCAGAATTAATCATGGCTAAAATTTTCAATTACAATATTAAGTATGGTCAATAGATATTATCAATTCATTTCCCAATACATTTAATTATGAAATGATGTCAATAATGTGATACGAACCGCATCAATTATTGAGATACAAGCAAAGTCCTAATGGTCTTTCGTTCAGATATGAAATTTAATCAATGCCAGTTTGTCACGCTGACCCATAATATTCCACAATAATATTTACATCAGTATTAAACTTCATCATACACACAATATAGGAAAAGAATGCATAAGAACCAAATCAATCAAATTCACGAAACACAACATTTAGATACACACACACACACACACACACACACACACACACACACATGATATATAGCTTATTTATATATAAGATGAGTTCCAGTTGTGTTTCATTCAATGTTGATAATTTGGAAAAAATACAGATATTTACAAGGACTCCGTGGATTTAGTTTTGATCCATTTCTCAAGAATCTAAAATCGGTACTAAATAATGTGTGTCTTGGGCCAAGCTTGTGGGTATTATGAAAATAGGATAATACGTGACAATTTATGCTTCCGATTCTGTATGACCGAGTCAGAGATTTTGGAGCAGGCACTGCAGGTGAATTCCTTATGATTCTGAATACATTTCCTTAGCGGAGCTAAATATCCACTTACCATAGGCGTCGGAAGCAAATTGAAAATGGGGGGGGGGGGGGCTAATTGAAAGAGAAAAAAATTTAAAACCTGAAAAAAACCTGACAAGCAAAAAAAAAAGGAAAGCTAAATATTGTCCAAACCCGAAAATCCTATTTCGGGGGGGGGGGGGCGCAACTTCTTTCAGCACCAATTTTTTTCCCCGGTTCCAACGCCTATGCTTATCATGTACATGTATTGGATTCTGTACCCCACTATTATATTCAAAGTAAATGACAAGGTTATAAGTTTTGAAAACTTTAAACCTGAAGTGGACAAAACTTACCTGGATGGTGATACCAGCGTAGAGATAATCATTACTATCCATGTCTCGCCTGATGTAGTATTTGACCTTATATTTTGGAGTTCAATTGATATATTTGAGCTTTTAATATATAAAGTAAGCATAGGACCATACTTGCTCGGATGATGCAATTAAGTATGTACACAACTATTATTACTTTCTTTTATTTATTTTCGGCGATTCTAAAGATTTATAAGTTAAAGGAAGTTGAACTTTAAGGATGTATTATTTAATTTATATCACAACCGTGTAATATATGTTGAAAGAATGCAGCTGATATGTTCGAAGTTTAATCTATATACATTTTTTTTTTTAAATTGACCTGAAACAATAGAGTTAAAGATATATGAAAAACATTTCTTTGCCTCACTCACACATTAATTATAGTTAAACATTTTTATAAATTTTAAAATTACTTGTTTTAACAAGGTATCAGAATTTTTTTTTAAATAAATGACAAAGAAATAATCTCACAATTATTTCTTACCGTTTTCGCACTGTAACAGCACAATTATAGTGTGACAGATTATGCCGGGGAGACAAAACATCTATTTTCCCGTAAGTCTAAGGTTGGAGTATCCCTAAGAATAAGCAATGGCGCGAATGCAGTCATGCAAGTTTGACCACTCCCATCCTAACTCGCACTGACCACTCGAATGAATGAATAATTGATTGAATGAATGTACATACCTCGAAAAAGGTGAATATATTAAACAAACAGTGATCGATCTTAAAAAAAATTCTACAAATAAAACAATTATGGGAATGTGAACAGGGCATGAACACGGACCCCCAGAAATTCCAGAGGTGGGATCAGGTGCCTAGGAGGAGTAAATATCCCCTGTCGACCCATCACACACGCCGGGAGCCCTAAGTATTGATCAGGTAGACGGAATATTCCGAAGTCAAATTCAGTATAAAAACAAAAGCCTAACAATTGGTATGAAATACGTCAGCCAAAACACGACCCAATGATAGATTATATTTGCTAACAAGGTCATTATAATGACCATTGAATTTACGAAATGCTTACCAAGAGGCTTTAACATCAACTTATCTGTCAGTAGCCTGCTTCGATTTAAAAATTGATCCTACTCAGAGCATGCTCTTGAGTATCGAATAAGTTGAGGGATGCAAACTAAATAAGCAGGTGGTAGTGGAATATTACTACACAAATAAGGTAAGTTGACGATGGAAAAGCTAAAGTTATCTCGTTTGTCATACAAGTCATCTCGTTTTTCATACAATTAGTTGTTAGTTTGTCCTTATCGTATATAGTCAGTAAAACATTCAGATATTAAACAGATGTGGTAGACTCTATAATGTTTTTAATTTCAAGTTCAATGGGATATAACTACTCGAAATATGAATGGAAGTAACTATTGTTGATTGATAAAACGTCGTCATTATATCTGAATGGCGAGTTGAAGGCCACAGCAAGTATTTTCTTCTTCTCATGTAGAAGTTTTTGAATAAATGCTGTTTCATTCTGAGAGTTTTGCAATAGCAATACTAGTCCTCTACCGGCAGGTGTACACTGGTTCCCATTCAAAATTGAAAATGCCATAATTCCGAAAAAAAATTATTGAAACGGAACGAAACGAACTTGATTTATAACTCATCAAGGTCAAATCACATACCAAAAATCAGCTTAATCTCGGCAAGCTTTTAGAAAAAATGCTGAAAACTCTTTAAAATTAAAAAGACCGTAATTCTGTCAAAAATCATTGAAGCGGAACGAAATTCAAACTTGACCTGTAACTCATAAAGATACACTCACATACCTAAATCAGCTCAATATCTGCAAGCATTTAGAAAAAAAAGTGCAGAAAACCAAGTGGGACAGACAGAAGGACATACAGACAGACAGACGGACAGGAAACCTATAGTCCTCTCCGGTTTCACCGGTAAGGGACAAATAGAAACAGGTCTGCTTACAAAGAAGCACAATTACATGTAGTACCCATCGAAATTCCAGTTGGAAGACCTGGTGTCCAAAGACTACGATAAATGTTGTCAAGGAGGAACTCCAACATCCTTTTAGTATCAACTTCAAAATTCAGAGTGATTTTTAACAAAATAATGAACGTAGTAATACATATTGATGTAACTGCTCTTTAACCAGTAAACAAGAGACTAGCTTGATCTCTTTTGACTAGACATTCAGTGAAAATAATAAAGAAAAAAAAAACAGAAACAAAATATTTAGTAAAATCAGTACTTGGTACAACTTATATATCAAAGCATAATTTAAACATTACATATTAGACTAAAATTCATATAGCAGTAAATTATATAACCGTTATTAAATATAAATCTTATGAAACACAACTAAACTTTTGATTTAAAAAATTTGTGCTATATAATAACTAATTAAGACTACAGTTTTAAAAATAACTAGATTTGAAATTAAGTCAAACACATAGAATAGCCACATGGAGCTTAATTTTAAGCAAATTACAAATACCCGTCCATAAATCCTAATCTAATGTCAAACTAAGGTCTACTACATTACTGCATCAATGTATAAAATTTGTTATAAACTATAGAGTCCGTGTTAGTGAAGCTTTTAAATGGACTGATGTTAAAAATTGAAGTTATTTAATCACGTGCATTCTGACCTTCTTTCACTCATGAATATGTTAAATTCATCACATGTGCTTGAATTACGATAACAACGTTATGAGAGAACAAAAGTAATGATTGCTTTTTAAAATTTCTCACTCACTGCAATTATTCGCAATACACAATATATTCTCGCCATTCACACGTATAAATGTTAGAGTCTGTTGAAATTCAAATAAATTATAGTTTGTCCCACGGTACCAAAGTTATCACCAATCTCAATGGCCTTCAAACTAGGTTTAATCAAATAAATCTACAGATATTTCTTTGCTTTAAAACAATCCTTCCAGTTCAAGTACTATATTGACACGGCAGCAAATCAAAAGTCTACGGGAATTTAGCATTGCGAAATTAAATGCCACTTCGGAAAGATATCTTCCGTGATTTTCCGTACATAACAATATTGAGAATTTCTGAAAAAAATTGCCCAATCTACCTAACCCATTTTTTTTCATCCTGAGGTAAGATCAAAGGGCGATTACGGTATTAATTCATGAACAACTACATGTAGCAAAGAATTTGTTTGCATACTTACAATGAGTTCTTTTATTTGAATCATTAAAATGAGTGGTTCGCATGATTACAAGGAGTATACTTTTTATTGCATGGTGACAAGGAGTATTTTACTCTTCTAAAGGCTGAGGAGAATTTGGTCATGAAATGAAAATACATTACACCTTCTTCTGTAGTCTTTAAATCTGACTGATAAACTGTTTGCATGATTATGATTTTAAACACTCAGCTAGCTCTTTGTCAAAATTGTAAAATTCATACCCCTGGCTCATTATTCAGGCCAGAGGGTGGGGCTAAGTTGGCTAAAGCGAAAGTACGTTACATAATTGAAAATATTTATTTACTCTATGGATGTTATGCAGACATGTGTTGGAGATTAAGATGACCTTTATCTTTCATGCCTCCTGGATCCAGGCTTAGGGACGGGCTAAGTTGGTCATATATTGAAATATCTTACATAGCACATCTTATCTGTTTTACTCATGAACTTAAAAGGAGAAAAAACTGCAAAAATATAATAATGATTGTAGAATCCTCATGAAAGTGTAAAATTTTTGTTACATGACTTTAGAGTTTCAGTTCCGGGTTGTTAAATTGGTCATAACATGAAAAAAAAAATACTATACTCCGGTGATCGTTTCTGTTATAGAATCTGTTACATATTTATCCTGTTAACTTGCAAATAACAATTAAGTCATTCTACACACCATTTGTTATTAGGATATGACAGGGTGTTGTCCTGATGCAGCAATTGGTCCTCCATGTTTGTTAGGGGGAATCTTTCATATAACACGCACAAAATCATGTCTGATAAGCTTAAGCATTGAATCAATGGTATATTACTGAATATTATAGATCAGTGATTTATATTAAATGTTATATTAGATTGCAGTAATTTCTAATATGGAAATGTTAAGATTAAGAACAATTATCGAATAAATTGCGAGCAGGGCATCCAAACCACTGGAAGACTCGAGGTGGGGTCAGGCGGGAAGAGTTAGCATACTTCCTCGCTGTGTGTTGCTTAGCAATACACTGTCATGGACGGTGATGCTGCAATTTCTTACTACTGAATAAAATGTTTTTAATTGAATTAAGGATCAGCTAAAAATATATAGAGAGAGAAAAACTGCCAGTTTGCTCGCGTGATAATTTTACGCATAGACGCCTTTGGTGTTTATGCAAATTATAACGCGAGTGAACTGATCGATTTCAAAATAATAATAAAACTGGACTGTTGTTCCTTAAATATAGAAAGTTGAATATAGAAAAGTAGATATCATCATTTTTGTCGAACGTATCAACTGTTAATATGCCATGTATGTACTTCTATTTAGTAAAATATCGAAATATGAAATAAATCTGTCATTGTCCGTTGTGGTTTTTATTCATGAAATATGCCTACGTGGCAAGTCTGTGTGATTTATACACCAATAACTCACACAAAACTTAAAAAACATTCCTTATATTTACATTTTACATGTTTAAATGCACCAAAAATATACTCAGTTTTTTAATTTCTCGCTGCCCTATATCGTCATATTTTTATTAACGTCTTTGTAGCCTCATTGTGACGTCACTTTAGCGCGAGTTTCGTCCTGAATATTTCTACGCGAGAGTATACACAAAAATGACTTTCAAATCAATTTCACAGTTGGCTTAGTAGAAAAACACAGCAAATGTAAATATTTCGGATTCATTGTGGTATTCCACACATAAAATTATCTGTATATTTTGTTGATGATTTTCGATCCTTCCACTGAATAGGGATTAAATGTTTTCCGCTTCAAGGCTGAAGATTGCTGCTTACTTTCATGGTCTAAGTGAAATACAGATAACTTAGAAATAAGTTTCATGAGTCGTAATAATTATCCCCTTCTTAAAAA